AAATAAAAACCAATTATTTAAAAAAAAAAAAAGGAAGTCAGTTCAATCCTATTCTCATCAGTGATGGATAACACGGAGAACTAGCAGGTCCTTCTGGAACCCTAATAATGAGCTTGCGAGACAATCAAGAGCAAACCAACAAAGCAAGCCCAGATCAGGGCCAGTTCACCCAGCTTCTAGGAACATTTTTCAGAACACAGCTGAGTGCTGGATGAGCACAAAGAACAATGAGCGAGTTCTGAACCCGCATTGTCTTTGCCCACTTGAAAGGGAAAATGAACTGCAATGACAAAAAGCCCAGCGACAGAAGACGGGAGATGGCACAAGCAGGGGAAGATCAATCACGACAGACGGCTGGAAATGCAGCCATCAGGATGCAGGAATGAGAGAGGGGCAGTCCTCTCTGAGAAACTGGAGACCACAGAAGGAAAGGCTCTCATGCCATCATGACAAAGTGTTTCCCAAGGTTATTTCTGACTGACACCCTGCACGTTATCTGGAAACACAAAGGGAAACAAAGGTGCTATAGCGGGACAGTAAGGATTCTGTGCAGTGGGACGCACTTGTCTTATTAACGCTTGTTAAAGTTCCATGAAGAGCAGAATGGCTCACGGTTCTGTGGCTAAACATTCCGCAAAAATCTATTTAGCACCACAGATCTCATAGGGATATTTGAATACAGAAAATGGCAATACATAATTTAAAGGCACTGGACAGGGAAGCTCAGTGGGTAAAAAGTTACAAATGCGAGGACTGCAGTTTGGATCCCCAGCACCCAAGAGGCCCACGTGAAATGTCAGTTCTCTTTACGGAAACAGGAGGCTCCTCCAGGCTAGACTAGCCATTACCAGTAATCTCTGTGTTTAGTTAAGACACTGCCTCACTGAATAAGGTGGAAAGTGAACCCCCTAAAGCTACAAATATATACATGTGCACCCACACATGCAAACATGCATACACATACTAACATACTACATATACACAGAAGGCATATACTTTAAATTATATAAGCTAAACCTTAAAGAAACATACATATTATTTCTACTTTATTGGAAACTATAGAGAACTCTGATTCAAAATTCTATCATTTGGCCAGGCATGGTGATGCACACTTTTAATCCTAGCACAGAGACAGGCAGGATCTGAGTTCAAGACCAGCCTGATATATATATATCACGTTCCAGGCAAACCAAGGCTCTACAGTGAGACCTTGTCTTAAACTTGAAAAGGGGGGGGGGGGGCACCTAGGCTTGAGTGGGTTCTGAAAAGAAAACAATAAATGTTAGAAGTATTCTTTTAGTGCATATGGATACAGGTACCGCATGCACCTGTCAGGGTAAGCCTGTGGAAGTGAGACAACTATCCAGAGAACTATCATTCTCTCCTTCTACCATGCGGGTTCCTAGGATGGAACTCAGTCACCAAGAGAGCAAGCCCCTGCTGAACCATCGCCCCGACACACCTTATGTGTTTTAAAGTAAAAGCTGGCCAGGTGTCACGCTGCAAGGCGTCAATCCCAGCACTTGGGAGGCAGGAATATCTCTGAGTTCCAGACCAGCCTGGTCTACACAGTGAGCTCAGGACAGCCAAGACTACATAGACAGAGAAAACTGGACACAACAGTGCCCCCTCGTAATCCAATCCTACCACTTGGGAAATAGAGGCAAGAAGAACAGGCCAGTCTTGGCTACATAGCAAATCTAAGGCCAGCCTGAACTTCACAAGAGCCCATCTTAAAAATTAAAATATTGGCTGGAGAGACGGCTCGCTGATTAAGCTCTTTCTGAGGATCTGGGTTTAGTTCTTAGCACCTACAAGGTGCTTACAACTCTGTACAAGTTCCTATTCCTGAGAATCCAACACCCTCTTCCAGTTCTGAAGGCACTGCACACACGCTGTACAAAGACATGCATTCGTACATGCAGGCAAAACACCCACCCATACAGATAAAAATAAACATATCTTAGGAGGGACAAAAAAACTCAAAACATGAAAAGAAATATGAAGGGTTGGGAGAGGAAGAGGGGCAAAGAACAGCCAAGCTATTCAATTCTTAACACAGAAGCCGTCTAACGTACGGTTTTACTTCGCCCATAACTCTGTTAGTAAACAACATTAACATTATCTAGCTCTAGCAACAGTTTCCTGCTTCCTCTGGTGTGAAACTTTTAGAAACAGGTATGGAGGTATAGCTGTAGTAGTTAGCATATGCAAGGCCCAGTGCCCCTCCCCCACTGCTGGGGGGGAGGGGCCTTTTCTAAATAAAACATTTTAAGTACTACTACCTCATCCTATTACAGTACTTTCATTCAAGTATAATTACTGAAATGGCAAAATCATCCTGACATTTCAATAAGTTTTAATATTATATATCACAAACAGGCAAAATCTCTTACTCAACAGTTAATGAACACATAGATTTATAGGCTTCCAAATAACCAAATACATTTCCCATTCCCTTACCTAACTTTTCCACATTTAGGATTAACAAGGGCTTTAGAGAAAGTATCAAATAGTTCATTAGGCTGAATTATCTTTAAAAATAATTTCCAATTCTGACACTGTAAAATTCTGGAGCAACGAGCCCTTCTAAAAAGAACAGAAGAGTTGGTCTTGGTGTCAAAAGCCTGTGATCTCCACAGAACTGAAGACAAAAGGATCAAGAGTTCAAGGTCAGCCTGGGCTGTGTGGGTCCCTCCCAAACAAAACAAGACAAAGAAGGGTTGGAGAAATGGCTCAGCAGTTAAGAGTGCTGGCTACTCTCCCAGAGGACCTGAGTTCAATTCCCAGCACTCACATGGCAGCTCACAACTGTCTGTGACTCCAGTTCCTGTCTCTGCCTCCCAAGTGCTGGGATTAAAGAGACATGGGCATTAGTGACACCAAGAAGAGGAGCCAGACATACTGAAAGATTACAAATGGGGATATGGACAAGAAGAACTAGTGCGGGCCGCTCACAAAAGCCCCAGCGACTAAGGATCTGCATGACTCAAGGTCAATGGGGAAAAGATGAAGACAGTCTGTATAAGGATACACTTACACTTTCTAGGTTCCCACTCCTATCCTCTCATAATTTATTCCTGGAAACACTGACCTGGACCAACTCCAGACTCAAGGAGAGTGAGCTTGAAGGCTGAAGTGTTTTTTAGCAAACAGCCCACCCACTGTCCCTTTCCTCTGCCCAGCTTTCAGAACACTGGCAGCCAGATAGACGGATCAGGTCCCCTCAGCCACAGGGGACACATTCCAAGGCATCCCGTGGATACCCAGAAGTTCCCTCTCACCCATCACAGCGTCTGTGCTGTGCAGGAAGAAGACGACGGGGAACCCAATCACAACTCCTTTATCCTTCCTGGGGTCTACAGACTGAGGATTGTTCTTAAGATCTTCACGTTTTCACTTCAAAGGAGCATTCTACAGTTCCACTTTCAGCACATTCAACAGTGAAGTGCGCTAGCACTTGGGGCCATTACTAAGTAAAATAAGAGATACTCGAACACAGGCGGCGGAACACCAAGGCAGCTGACCTGACGACCCCAAGAGTTACTGACTAAAGTCTGGGTACAGCCTAGATAGCCTAGACAATGGAGTAATTGACATCCCACTTGGAGAGTGCTCAGCTACTCAAAAGTGGCATGTAACTTAAAACTTAAAAACTCAGAGAGCTAGCTAATGTGTATCAAGGGCTAAGAACGGTGACGGCCAAGAGTACCTAAATAAATTCAAGAAAAAAAGTTCAAGACTTCTAAGTTGTTTGTTTCTAGAATTCTGCAGATATTTTCAGACCACTGAGAAAAGAAACCCTGGAAAGTAACACAGTTGCTCATACAAGGACGTAGGTTCTGTCCTCCAGCACTGAAAAAAAAAGTAGGGAAATTAAAAGATAATGAAAAGCTAAGCATATTATGTAAAAGAGGCACTTCACAAAATATAGAAATGGCTAATAAAGTATTTTTCACCCCAGTCACCACAAAAATGCAAATTAAACCCACACACTGATAAAGTACTGTACCACCACCCAATTCGCAGACTCTTAAAAAAAATTAAGCATCGTCAGTAAGTACTGGATTTTCACTGAGAACTCATCGGTACAACAGCCTTGGGAAAGGCCCGACAGAACCTAAAGTCAGAAAGCTAAAAACAAAACAGTATCTACCAGAAATAGTGGCAATATCCTCGAAGGAGGTGGGAGACGGGCGTCTGTCAACAGCCTAGTCCACACAGCAAGAACAAAACCAAACAAACAACTTCAGTTCTCAAAGGGCATACATCCCAACCAAAAAATGTCTATTTCTTCTTGACACAAACTTGTCAAAGAAGGAGAGCATTTTCTGTTCTACAGAAACCAAATTCCCGAAACACTAAGGAATTTTAACTATTAAAATGTAAAAAACAAAACACCAGGCAAAGATTAAAAACTAGCAACAGATCAGGTTTCCCTAAAAACTCCATTCAGGAAGCTCCGGAATTAGTTCTGGCAGCGGAGAAAACAGATTATTCTTTTCCTCCACCGTCGCTCAAAGGAACCCGCTTGCTGCTCTTTAAAATCCCCTCCAGCAAAAACCGGAGGAGAGCGAGGGAACCGGCCCGAAAGTTTTGCCTAACTCCGGGCGAGGCGACGCCCCCCGGGATGACCCGAGGTCGAGGTCAGGGAAAACAGCGAAGCCACCGCCGCCACGACCTCCGGAAACCGCGCGGTCAACTCCGAGGCCAGCGGGGCGGTCACTCGGCGCACCTGACGGATCCGTCACCTGCCTGCGGCCGCCGCACGCGGAACCCGGAGGCCAAAGGGAAAAAAAAAAAAAAAAAAAAAGCCAACTTTCCAAGTCCGGGACGACTCCCGGGCCCGGGCGCCCCCGAGGCCGCCCGAGGCACGCAGGCCGGGGCTGGCTCGCGCCGCAAGCCCGGCAGCGGCCCAGGTCGGCGGCGCGGGCCTCGGAGCCGCACGGCGCTCGCCCGCCTCCCTCGCCGCAGGCCCGGCCTGGCGCGGCGCCGCTCACCTTGGAAACCTGGGGTGGTGGACGCCGCCGTCACCATGAACTTCCCATCCAGCCGGCGGCCGCTCGGGAGCTCGGGCACTCGGGACCCTCCGCCGGCCGCTCGCCGCTCGCCGCTCGCCGCTCCGCCCGCGACTCAGGCGAACCCCGCGCAGCCCAGCGCCCGCTCCAGCTCCGCCCGGCTCCGGCCGGGCCGCTCCAGAGAAAGCCCAGGGCGCAGGCGCGGCGAGGCCCTTAAAGAGCCCCGGCCGGCCGGCCTCTACGGCATAATGGGTTCGAGCGAGCAGGTTAGGGCCGCGGCCCGGGTTGGCGAAGCAAAAGCAGAAACCGAAGGGATTGGACCGCGGGGAGTGGAGGCGGGGAGATCCCACTCCGTCCTCCGCCCCTCTCTCCCGGCACCCTGCCCTCGGCCTGCAAACTGCTGACTTCCCAGTCTCTGGGACCGCCCGGCGCGAGCCCGGGCCGCGGAAGACACACCCCCCTCGGAGTCCCCCGGGGCGAGCACCCCGCGTCCGGCTGCGGCTTCCAGGCCTGGGGCGCGCAGAGCGGACGCGCAGCCTTGGGAAGGCTGCCCCAGTCCAGCTCTCAGGAACGCTACGCCAGTGGCACTTTCTGTGGATAAACAGCGATCCTCTGGACACCCCGGGTTTATTCGGAGTCCGACAGAGGGCAGAAGGTGGGCAGTTTTCCAACACCAAGGAAGAAATTCTTAGAAGGAAAGTACTTAGTTCGGGACAAAAAACAGCCTATTCATTCGGGCCCTGTCTCAGGAAGAGCAAGCAAGAAAAATAGTAAAGGCATTATAAATTATTTTCGTTATGAGAAGTGACCAAAATTATAGAAATTACCATCGTGCAGTCAAAAAAAAGCTCCAAAAGTGTTTGCTAATCTGATACCCCTGCTTTTTGAATTTGTATTTGTGAGATCTGTCTGGAAAAGTTTCCACTAGCATAAGCACTTCTAGAAAAGAGTGTTTTTCAACAAGACTAGGAAATAAGAAATGGGAAGTAAAACCATGTCCTCCACCCAGCTAAAACCTTTGAAAATTTCAACAGTCTGAGGCAATTTTTTGCATAACTTTAGATCATGTTATTAAAGTCAACTTAACTTCTTTATAACTTAATGCATCTTGCATAACAAAACGAAACATTTTTATCATCTACTTCTCCAATTTATTTGCTGATCCTGTTGCTTTTATCTGCTAAAGTTTCCTTGTACCTGTCCTATGACCCCCAGCACCAACCACCCTCATCAAACTTACTCTCACCTGCGGGTAGACTGTCAGGACAGTGACCTAATTTATCCACAACCCTCCTGCCCTTCTCTAAATCTCCTCACAGCACAGGAAGAATGCTTGTTCAGAATACTGTGTCATGTGACCTTGTCCCTGTCCAGCGTCCCAAAACTCCCTTAGACCAAACCTCCTAACCAAGTCCTTCAGGGCCAAACACCTCTCCCCTCTCTGGCCCTCATCTCACCCAGGCCCTGGTCTCTGAGTCGGAGTCGCACCCTTTGATTGACACCCCCCCCACCCCCCTCACCCCTGTATTAGTCCTATCAATTACCTTCCAGGAAACTGTAATTACAGGACTCCTTTGGGAATGTTTAGAGTCTCCTACTAAGCATCTGGCTCCATAAGGCCAGGAGGATTTGTTTTATGTGATTTGTAGTCATATGTTCATATTTGTTCAATGGATTCTAGAATCATAGATTCAAGAACTTGAACTAGATATGGCTTAAAGGTTACTGACATCATAAGTAAATGTCACGTTTTGACATCTGGAGTCAGAACCTAAAAAGAACGCTAGGTATTATAGAAATAAATGGGGTGCCCTAAGGTTCTTTGGATAATATTTAAAACAGTGCTCAAACCTCCTAGTTAAGAAGAATATGCCAGGGCTGGAGAGATGCCTCAGAGGTTAAGAGTACTGACTGCTCTTCCAAAGGTCCTGAGTTCAATTCCCAGACACCACATGGTGGCTCACAACCATCTGTAATGAGATCTGGTGCCCTCTTCTGGCTTGCAAGTATACATGCAAGCAGAACACACTGTATACACTGTATATGTAATAAATAAATAAATCTTGAAGAAGAAGAAGAAGAAGAAGAAGAAGAAGAAGAAGAAGAAGAAGAAGAAGAAGAAGAAGAAGAAGAAGAAGAAGAAGAAGAAGTAGTCAGGCGATGGTGGTGCACACCTTTGATTCCAACACTTAGGAAGCAGAAGCAAGTGGATCTCTGTGAGTTCCAGGCCAGCCTGGTCTGTGGAGCGAGTTCCAGGACAGCCAGGGCTACACACGGAGAAATCCTGTCTTGGGTGGGTGGTGGGGAATAGCTATAGCTGAGGACACTGTGAAACTATTAACACTGGTGGTTTCAAAAGTGGAAGACAGGGTAATTGAGAGTGAAACATTTCCAGAGATGGGAAGAGGACTTTTTTGTGAATACCCAAAAGGCTTAAAATAGTACTTTTTCATTTTAAAAGTATGTGAATGAATTACCAATTTTAAAAAGAATGACAACGGGATATATAATATACAATTCCATGTATGCAGAATTCCAGAAAAGACAAAACAGAATGCAGTGAAAACAGTCAGAACAGGGCTAGAGGAGCAGCTTACTGTGCTCAGCACGTTACAAAGTAATCATTTTAAAATACTGATCTCAGAATAATAGCCCTGAGGGGGGCCATTAGCTCCGACCCTCCAGCATTATCCCAGGTTTACCCCTTTCTTTCCCTTGCCCCAAGTGCCTCAATGTATTTGGTAAGAGAGCTTACACACTGATGCCCCACTTTGATTGTTAATTCTAACACTCTCAGGTGCCCAGGCGCTTTCGTAAGTGATATTCCCCTGTGCGAATTCTCCTCTGACACCACCTCTGCCCCTGCCTCTCTGCTGCTCACACTCTGGAGTCTAGACTTACATGGAGGAGACAGTAAATGTGGCAGTGGGCAGCAGCACAGCCAATTCAGTTAGCAATTCAGTTCCCTGCATCTCACACTGCATCCTTGTAGCGTGGATTTAGGTCACTATCCAGGAAGGAAACTCCTCTAACCTGCCAAGGGTTAAGTTACCGAAAACCACGCCGCTGACTGCCAAGAGTGTTCAAGCCAGCCACATGAGCCCCATTGGTCACCAAAAGAAAACAAGGGAGGCATTCTTCAGAGAGGTCAAGTCACCCCAGGTACAGAGGCAGAACTCCGGCCAGGTCAAATCCACGGTGGACGCCACCACCGTCATCCTGGATGATGGTGGATGCCACCCCAGTCACCCAGGGCAGTTGGCATCTGCGCTTCCTCGGAAAAGCAGGGCACTTGTTTTTATTCTTGGGTCACACTGTTTAATTCGGGGTCTGTGAGAGCCACTGGCCACGTGAGACCGCTTGTGTCTCAACAGCTTCAGCTGTTCAGTCACACTCACACATTCCAAGTGCAGTGACAGCGCCCGCGGTCAGGAGCCCACAGACAGAAGGTAGATTGGTGGTGCTATTCCAGGAAGAAGAGGAAAGCACTCCCTCCACCCAGAGTCCCAGATAATGCTCAAAACTTTTGCTTTGGGAAAAATAAAGCTCATTCTGAAACAGTTAACTCGTTAGGTAGGCGCTTTACTTAGCACAACAGGAATGTAAGATACTCGTGGCTCAAAGCTGGGGCCTCTCCACTTACTGGGGTTCTAACAATCACAGCACGGCACACACTCTTGTCACCTCTGACCCTTGTGTGGAGGTAGATGCAGAATACTGATTGAAACTGAGCTTGTGGCTCCAGTTTGTCTGTCTGTCTGTCTCCCTCCTCTCTCTCCTTCTCTACATGTGTCTGTCTAGGTGATTTGTATGCCTGTAGACATACCTGTTCACATGGGTGTGGGCCTGTGAGTGTGCATGTGTGTGGGTGCATGTGTGTGGAGGTGTGAGGCTGATTATTGGGGCATTTCTTCAGTCACCCTCTTCCTTATTCATTGAGGCAAAGCCTCCCGATTGAAACGAGCGCTCTGATCTGGTTCATCTAGCCAGCTTGCTTCTAGGATCCTGTCTGGACCTTCTGAGTGCTGGGATTACAGGCAAGCTGCAGCGCCATGTGGTTCTAAGGATCTGAACAGCAGTCTTCACATGTGAGGGTTCAGAACATAGCTTGCTGGGCCATAGCCACTTTATCTGTCTTTAAATTCTGTCAAACGAAATGATAGCTCTCGAAAGCATACCACCAAAACAGGACAACAGTACTACTGTGCCATTTCTCCATCACCTTATAAAAGGGGAAGTAATGTTTGTTTCTTGACTTTAAGTATGTTTTAAAGCAAGATAAAATTTGATGCAACTATCATTAGTAATTTCACTTCAACTGCCGAATTTTCTGAGAACTAGTAAATTCCAGGTTTTATCCAGCCAATGACTGGAGGTTATCATCTAAAAATTTAAGTGTACTTGGCAAAACTATGTTTAACCTCCTCATACCCCAATCTTCTACCCCATAAAACACTTAGTAATATCTACTTAAGCACTGAACTGATCATTTCGTGGAATGAATATGTAAGGCATGTAAACACCCACTAAGTGGTAATTATTGCAATTGCTATTTTCCAAAGTCACAGAGTATCAGTGCAAATATCTAAAAGACTCTGAGTTAGAAAAAAAAAAATCCTGACTCTACCACCTGCTAGTTGTTTGGGTTTTTACCTTGTGCAGTTCTGTCTCTTCGCCGGCTAGTTAAAGCTGAGCCTGCAGCCAGGGAGAGGGCCCAATGCACAAAAGCATTAGCCATACACGTCTGACAGCCTGCATTCAGCCCCTGGGACCCACACACAAAGACGGAAGCCGTGGCATGCATCCGTAATCCCTGCACTTCTGCTCTGGGAGATGGAAAGCAGAGACGAGAATCACCCAGAAGGTTCACCTACCACAGTCTGGAATGCACAGCAACACAAACAAGACGGATCCTGCCCCGGCAAGGTGGAAGCTGAGAACGCAGCTGTCCTTTGACCCCCTGATGTGCACGGCGGCACTCGTGCACCCGCATTTACACACTCATGACACACCGTACACAAAGTAAGGAAGGAAGCTTGAGAAAATAAAATCTTAAGTCCCCGGTGGCAGATGTGTTAAATGTGTTTCTGCTTCACATGAAATGGTCTGTGTCAGTAAAGCCAGAGACTAAATTTATTCGATGTAAA